GCATTGAAAGAAGATAATTATGATAAATTATTTAAGGAAATTAAGAGTGATCTGGAAAAATGGGCTAATTTGCAATTATCTTTGTTGGGAAGAATAGCAATGGTTAAAATGAACATATTACCAAAGTTTTTATTTTTATTCCAAACAATTCCCATAAAAATTGATAAAAAATTTTTTGATGATTTAAATACTCAAATCTCGAGATTTGTATAGAAAAAGAAGAAACCAAGGATTAAATTAAAAATGCTTCAGGAGGCTAAAGGGAATGGGGGTTTTGGCCTTCCTGATTGGATGTTGTATTATCAAGCTTCTGTCTTAACATGGCTAAAAGAATGGATAACTTTAAGAAACAAGAGAATTCTGTATCTTGAAGGGCATGATTTTTAAATGGGTTGGCACGCTTATATGTGGTATGAGAAGTGTAAGGCACATGGTTGCTTTTTTAAATCATTATATTAGGAAATCATTAATGTCAGTGTGGGAAAAGTTAAAGACAAAACTGTATATTAAATTACCAAGATGGCTTTCACCTATGGAAGCTCTTGTATACTCAAATGCTTTGAATTTTGATATGATTGTGAGATATGATGATATTTTGGATAATGAAGAAGGATTGAAACTGAATCAAGAAATACAAGAGCAAGGAATTAATATTTCTTGGTGGCACAAGGATCAAATGCAATCGAGATATGTTAAAGACTATAGAATGTGGGGGTTTTATAAGGAGTTAACAACATTTGACCATGTGATTTTAAAATCAGATGAGAAAATGATTAAAAGATTGTACAATTTTTTTCTGGATAGGAGAATGGAAGATGATCAAGTTAAGGAAACTATGATAACTTGGGCACAAAACTTTGGATACAGCATTGAGTTAAAGAAATGGCAAAAGCTGTGGGAAAGAAACATTAAAGTAACATTAGCAACCTCATATAAAGAAAACCTGAATAAAATGTTTTATAGATGGTACCTATCGCCAAATAGATTAGCTAAGATATTTCCAAACATGTCAAATGGATGTTGGAAATGTAAACACAAACCAGGTACCTTTTATCATATGTGGTGGACCTGTGATAAGGCAAAAAAATATTGGATTAAAATACACAAATGGCTTGATTTTGTTACAAAAACCTCTAATATTTAAACCTGAAGTTTTCTTATTAGGCATTGTACCTGAGGATGTTGGTAATCAAGCAATGTATTTGATTTTACATGTAACTACTGCAGCGAGGATTGCATTTGCCCAACATTGGAAGAGTGAAGAAGCACTTACCGATGAACTGATTTTAAAAAAGATCTTGGATGGTGCTGAAATGGACAGATTGACTTTGTCTCTGAAGGAGAAAGAAGATACAGACTTCTATCAAACTTGGAATTCCTTTTATTATTGGCTAGAGAAACGGGACCATACATAGATTTAAATATGTTTATGGATTATCATAAAAAGAAAAAGTTGGGAGGCTGACCCAACAGGTCTGATATTTTTGACGATTGAGGATTTTTTAGTTTCTTTTTGTTAGTTTTGTTAGTTAGTAGAAAATAACAATAAAACTTAAAAAAAAACCCAAAGTCAGGTAGGTTACCACAAACAAGAAAGAGGGGTGAGGTGTGGAGAAACAACTGGGGATGGTGCAAGGATGGAAAAGGACTATGGAGAATCAAAGTTATGCAAATATGAGCTGTATCCAGTGCAGCCCTTGTATAAGTACAACAGGAAACACCCTAAAGCAATCAAATGCTCATTTTCAGAATGGAACAGGTTAATTCAGTTTGAGGATGGAACAGGCCAATGGGGCTCATAGGAGGGACCTATTTCTGTTTGGAAAAGGAGCATTTTGCCTCAGTTCCCAGGTTTATTTTATATATTTTTAATTTAAATATTGTTCAATCCGCAACAGGCTATCTGAATGGTGTACAATAGGGAAAAAAATCTAAAACATTACATAATATGAATAAAGCTGGTATTAAATAAGACTCCAACAGTAATCACCAAAAGGCAGAACAATTAACACACAAATGATAATAAACCATGCACTTCACCAAAATAGTAATTAATCCACAGTAGCACCAATGACAATATGAATATAAACCAATATAAAATAGTATAATTGTATTTAACAGTTAAAATACCAGGAAAATGAAAAAGTTTTAGCCTGGTGCAGAGATGCATCAAGGGTCCAAGGCCAGGCATACCTCTCTGAGTATTGCATTAGGAAAAACCAGCTTCCTATTGAGCTATTGAATCCTGCTGGTGTCAGAATCCCGGAATCTCAATTTGAGAAGAGGGAATAAAACTCGGGTTTGTGGGAAAAATCAAGTGTCCAGACCATCTAGGCCTTACTGTATTAACCCAAGGTTTCCCGCGGTAGACTCTCACGATAATGCATGCATTACCAGGCAGGCAGAGGTGAACTCTGCTGCAAAGCTTCAATACCATTACAGGGCATTTATAGGTACACAGGTACAGGGCAATTGATGACAGAATGCAGAGATTACAATAAGATTCTGAGGTCATCACATACAGAACAGATAAAGAAATGCCAGTCAATCACACAGTAACAATGAGATTACAATATTTCTAATTGCCTGTATTGACACTTTAGTTCAGTAGCTTGAGCCCATCTCCAGGTCTGCTTAGACATGTAAATTCAAGCTACTGAGAAACTATGCATGAGCTCAAGACTTTTATCTAGACTCTAGCCATTCTGAATTGGCCAGGGCACATGGAGCCTCTGGGCTATCAAAAGATACTTCCTTGTAAACTGAATCCCAACAATGACTATTTACAATGTATATGTGGACTGAATGGCCTGTCTACTGTAGCCCACAGCTAAAGGTGAGAGAAAGGAGCGGGGGAATGCCATTTTAAACAGTGACAGCTTGGTTTTGAGAAGGAAGATAGGATTTGATCCCACAGTGCAAAGGCACACAGAAGTAACGCTTTTCAGACAGGATTTATCCAAATTTTCCCAACACTGGCACATAATCAGGAGAGGTGCCTGGATCGTGTTCGCTCCCACTCGACATTTGCAATAACTGCAAGAATATCACCCCCTCAGCATTCAACCCACCCCTCCCCCCCCACACACAAATTTCCTCGTTTCTGGCTTAAGTGAAATTCAGATAAAAGGAATTAGGTAAACTTTATGCAACACCTCAGGTTGGGGACTAATGGTGAATAATGGCCTATAAAAGGCTTGGTTTTGCTTTCCCAGGGCTGCCCAGAATAACGTAGTGCAGTTACAGTGAGGTACCTCAGGGAGCCACTTATTCCAACAGGGTTCTTCTGTTTCGTGGTGGATTATTCCTGCAGAATCATACCAGCGGTTTTCAAGTTTGGTCTATAAATCTGGACTTTGGGCTAAAATGCCTGGCAGGAGTTCCTCCTTTCAGTTTTGATGACTGACCTACATATGAGGCAAGAGGCCTAAAATCCTGTGGGCTTCCTTTGACTAACAATGGGGAGGGAGGAAACTTCAGGGCAGGCTGGCTTTTGTTTCCATTTTTCTCCCTCCTTTCACGTGTAAACTTACCAGTTATTCCTTTTCATATGAGCTATGCAAGTGAATTGAAGTACACAGTGTTATCTGACTGACTGCTCATCTTTATCAGTTTTGAAATGCAAAATCCTCAGAACAGTTGAGCTCTTTCATTCTAAAACCTGAGCATTCTAAATAAAATCAAGATAATTGGTTTATTAGATTTATATCCTACCTGTCTGCTTTTTTAAGGAACTCAAAGTGTCTCACATCAGTCTCCTGCTGCTGCTCTCAGTCTTATCCCCACAACAACCCTGCGAGGTAGGCTGGGCTGAGAGTCAGTCACTGCCTCAAAGTCACACAGTTGCTTCCACGCCCGAGTATGGACGAGAACCCAAATCACCGGAATCCCAGTCCCACGCTCTCAACCACTGCACCACACTGGCTCTCTAAGTGTTTGTCTATTTGTTTATTTATTTGTCTAGTGTTCGTTAGTTATAGCAATTGAAAGTGCAGACAGGCAAAATCTTCCTTATATTAATTCAGAGCTGGCATATTTGGTGTTATTCAGAGTTACACATTTATAGTATTTCTACAGATCAAGAAATGTAACTGCAGATATTTCAGAGTAGCCACCTTACCAAAGAATTTCTTTGTTGGGTCACAGTCACTTGTGGTGACACCGAAATTTGCTCTGGACACAAGTTCTTTCTGAAATTGCAGCCCCATGAAAAACTGGTGCCTATTATTAATGGTAGGACTATTAATGGTTCTGTTGATAGTTGCAGTTTGCTTTTAAGCACTAAAACGCACACCACACCACAGGAAAGGGAGATACATGCTATGCTGTTTTTAATGTCAAAAGTAGCTGCTCCACTTGTACTTGCTTTGACATTCTCACACAAGCAAATAAATCTTAAAAGTGCAAAAAGAAGTTGCCACCCTGATCTCATGCGTCTGCTCTGCCTGCACCACGCTGGTGTGTTGTTGTTGTAGTGTTTTTCTGTTGATTCGTCACATGCCAAGCTAGCTACTAGATTTTGTTTTACTTTGCTGGGACACTGCCACCAAAAACAAACAAACAAACAAACACACAAGGGATGCTGTAGAAACTAGCGGCATCTGGAAGACTCTTAATCAAGGCAAGGTTGTATGGAAATGGTTCAAACAGATCAGCGGTGTTCAACCTTTTGGCTTCTCTGGGCCACACTGGAAGAAGAAAAAAATCTCTTGGGCTACACATAAATACACAAAAACTCGTACTACCAAGTTGATGAGCAAAAAAAAAAAAAAAGGGGGGGGTGATGTCTGTGCATAATTTTTGTGATATCTGCCACCACAGATAAGCAAAACAGTCCTTACATAATAATCCTCATTGTGTGGTGCCCTGATCAGAGAGTGCTTTAAAATCCTCAAGCAGGTCCCAAGTTTGCATTCACTAATATATAAAATGAACACATCCAAGTCATAAAACTTCATTTTTTAATATTTTTATTTTAAAAGTAAAAGAGGGCAACATAAAACTAGTGGGATATTTGACATTCTATCTGAGAAACTAAGGCATCAATATCTGGTTCAATGGAAGTAGTTGCAATTCTCAGTGAATTCTCAAGGTGATCATCAGATAGTTTGGTTCTAATATTACTCTTAGTGTGCTTCATTCTTGAAAATAGTTGCTCACAAATGTAGGTGCTGCCAAAAAGCAAAGAGATGAATAAGGCATAATTGTGAAGGGATTTTTGAGAAAATAGGACCTATAAAATCCATGATCAATTTTTTTCTTTAATTGAACGTCAGATTGCAGCTCTTTGCATTCCATTTGAAAATTGGCAGGTTACGTATTTATGTCAACTGATAATGGAGTCGCAAACATTCCAAAATAGTGATTATTTTCCTGGAAATCTTGAAATCTGTTTTCAAATTCTTGTAACAAATTGAAAAGCACATATTTTTCCCTGTTCACAGGACTGTGTTTAGCTAACGTGTCAAAATGTATAAAATTGTTTGCAATGGTAGGTTGAAATATTATTGATAATAGCTGTGTTTCTCTCGCCAAGTCACCATGCGCACATGTAATGTCCGATGTTGTCAATTTGACTGTCTGCCCTTGGAAGATGGCACACCGGAAGCCACACACCACCATGAAACTGAAGCCACGCATGTGTACAAATAGAGAGACCATACATACATCTGGGCAGAATTGCCAATCCCCAAGATTGAAGGCCAAACTGACTTTGTGAATGAAGGGTGGGGTGGCCATTATGAAAGAAAGACAAATCTCTGTCAGAAGAGAGGGCCCCAATTCTGAGACCCTTCTGGCTGAGACAATGGTAATGAAGAAAATGGACTTGAAGGTTAGCACCTTCAAAGTAGCAGCAGCTCTGAGAGGCTTGAAGGAGCCCTAGTTAGGGTCATGAGCAATGCATTCAGGCTCTAGATGGTGACCCTACAGATTGGAGGTGGCCTCTACCCTCAAAAACCTTTGGACATACTCCAGTTGTGAGGAGCACAAGCAGGCAGAACGTTGTACCCATCCTGCTTGAGGGATCCTGTGGACAGCCGGTTTCCCATGTGACGGGATGCTGAACTTGATGGATCATTGGCCTGATCCAGCCAAATGTTTTTCATGTTCATGTGGACAGCTGCCTGAAGGTTCCTGTGTGTGTCTTTTAGAATGAAACCTGGAACTGCAACCTGTCTTCTGAGGGTGTTGGACCTAAGGTCAGTTGACAGGCCCACCTGGAAGAACTTTAGAACGCCTGGAATATCCAGGATTACAAGATCTCTTCCTGAAGCTTGGGATAATGTGAGGAAGACTCACCATGTACAATCTGTCCAGCTGTGGAGGTGGGGCTTCTCCAGAGCTAGCTGATCTCCTGCAGAGGAGAAAAAGAGCTGAGATCCTTGTGATGAATTTCACAAGCCCCTTTCAAGTCAACATGAAAAGCCAGTCCAAAATTTGTTATCATCCATTGATTCTATCAAGCTGGAGCTGGGATTAGAAAATGAACTGAAGGGGGCAAGATGCCCTGGCATTGTACCCTGCCATTTTCTTTCTCTTTCCCTTTCTGTGCTGGGCTCAGAGTTCATCAAATCTGGTGTCGGTGGGTTTGGCTGTGATGCAGTTCCTCTCTGCTCCTCCTGCCTTTGGTATGGTCCAAGAGCAGCACAAGTGAGGGCCAAAATATTTCTTGTAATTTCTGTCTTGTCCTGTCCAATCTGGGCTGGAAGAAGGTGGCAGAGCAGTTGAAGCACAGGAGTATGAGAAGAGAAGCAAGAAAGCAGAAGCTGCTGCTGCTGTGGAGGCCTTCTCACACTCTACAAGCCTCCACTTGTTAAAATGACATATAACTTTAACAACCTTTCAGTCTTTTGCTTCAAATTATAACTTGCATTGATGTGCATGAAAATGCAAGTTATATATTAAAACATATGACTGGTAAAACATTAAAATGAGGTCTCAAACAAAAAGGCCTTCTTCTAGAGTATTTGTAACAATGCATTTGATGATGGTAATATCTTGGTCACTGTATTATATGTTCTGTTGTTCTTAGTCCCAAGCTATATGTTTACAATGTAGAAATCCTGCCTGTATACCTCCATTTCAGAGAACAGGTATTCCTAATTAAGTTCACCAGTCTTATACAGTTTAAGAGCATAGGAAAATTGTAGCTGTGTGCACATAAACTGTTCCGAAAGTTACCTACAAACTCATAATATGAAACACTTAACAAAGTCAAATAAACACGTACCCCTAGTTTTCCACCTATGGGTTATACTGTAACAATCGCATGATGCAAATGGACACCCTCCAGTACATTTGCTTCAAGTACGTGAATTCTAGGCCCCTGCAGTGTGGACTAATTTGTTGAGTTTATGGAAAATTGACTTTTTTCCCCCCAATGGAAAATGGCAGTGATCCAGCACTGTTTCAAGGCTTCCCTTCTTTTTCGTAAAAAGCTTGATTTGCATATCCCAACTAGTTTCTCATGCAGGGTAATCTAGTAGAGCTGCTAGCTATACAAAAGTTAGGAAGCAGGGTCTTGCTATCCTATGAAAAAATTGTTAATTTACTCATCCAACACCCAACGTTTTAGTGGCACCTCCAGGTCACAAAACACAACTGCAGAAGAGTCAATCTAAGAAAATATTTTTCCTCTAATCTATACTTTGTCTCAGCAGAGTTCTTGGCCCACTAATTGCTTAGCTATTTGCTTTTAGACAATGAAATGATTTGTTTTCTTGTGCTTGGCAGGGACAGGGCCATTGTCAAAAAGATAAGATGAAGAGGGGGGACTTTGGCAGAAATCTTGTGAGGCTTCAGGTCCATTTCAGGCAGACCCCCAAAGTTTTAATTGTCAAGTTCCAGGGAAGAGAGTAGTAAGATAGTCAAAATGGTAAGCACCCAGGAAAACCTAGAACACTTTAGTAATCTACACTGACTGTCTTCTCCTTTTGACAGTGCAATATTCCACATTTATATTAGAACAAAGCAGATTTCGAATGTATGTTCTGCCAATACTCCTTTAAGTCCCATACATCAAGTAGTTGCCTACTATAGGCTGGACTCTAATGGATCTCAGTGCCTTATAGGAAGAAGAGTCTTTCCACTCTTGGAATAGAAAACAGCTCAAAGGCGACACCTTTGACATGAAATTAAAATTCTTTTATTAAATTATTATAGTGTCAAGTCAATGAAGATGTTTTCTTCTCAGCATCACATTAAAAAGTATAGAAATATGACACTCCAGAATAATTATGAATCACTAAGGCTCAGTGATATAAAAAAACTACATCTAAGGGAGAAGAGGGCAACAGCATCCTTGAACAATGAGGTAGCCAATATAAAAGGGGTTGGTCAGAGAGTAAATCAGTGCCATGCTGTCAAGATGGGCTTCAACATTTCGGAACCACCCCACCATTTCGCCAAAGTTAGCAAGCTGTCATTTAAGAGACTTACTGTAGAAAATTATACCAATCTGCATTGATGCAGCCTTGAGAATTCCATTATCACATCACCTGATGATTAGAGTTCAGACCATCTGAAGTCAAGAAATTAAGGCATTTGGACTTCTAAGTCAGCATCTGTTGTAATAGCATGCAAGTTTGCCACACTGGGTTTTTGTGTGGTGCTGCTCTTGATACGCCTGCTGGGCAGCAGGCGGAAAACAAGGATGTCTTTTGACAGAACTACTCGCTGACTCCTCTTGGCCACTGGCCTCCTCTCCTGCAATGGGACATCCACACAGGGACTCTGACAGCATTTCATTGCTGGGAGGAAAGTGCTGCTGGGGTACTCTGCCTTCCTGCTGCTAAGCCCCAGTCACTCCTGTTAGCTCTCAAAGAAAGATGGCCAGAGGCTCCCAATTACTACTGGAACCTCCATGATACCTTGTTAGCACCGAGGATCTTCCAGTGCTGGGAAGCAACTGCTAGGCGTGTAGTGACATAATGGCCAGGGAGGATCCAGCCTTCCTCTACTGGATGAGGAGCTGCTTATGCACAACAGCCTGCGTGTTACTAGATTCAGCTTTGATGGCACTGATTATGTTGCAAGGGATTGGAGTAGCGCTCTATGCCAATCCCTCTGGATCATGACTGCTGTGAACTTATTCAAATATTTATTCTGGTGTAATGTAAATGGCAAACTCTCCTTCTCAAGACTGGTAGAATCTATTCATGGGAGAGGACATCTCCATCCATACAAGCCTACAATGACCTTCACCTTCATTGGAAGTACTGCTTTGGGAGCCGCCTTTAAAGGATGCTAGGAAAGCAGCTATCTGAGGTAGGTCCTTTTCAGTTGTGGTGCCCCATCTGTGGAATCAGCTCCCAAAGATGTGAACCAGGTACCTTCTTTGTACACATTTTGGCACCAGGCAAAGAATTTATTTTCAGAGTATTTGAATTGATGACAGTTTTAATTCTAATTTAATGTTTGTTTTTGTTATCCTAATTGATGAATTTTAATATTTTAATTGTTATTTATAAGATGCTGTCCAATCTGTTAGTATCTGATGTCTCCATGGTTGGTGCGTTTGTTGAAGGAATGGATGTTTCTATTGGTACTGATGTTTTACTACTGATGTTTTATTATTGAATTTGTTGATATGTCGGGCTTTTTTATTTGGTTGATAGTTTTTAACTGTGTAAACCGTCCAGAGAGTCATGTGGCTATTGTGATGGGTCTATAAAAACATAGTTAAATAAAATAAATAAAATCCATTGTTATAATTCTCCCCCATACCCATCTTACTTATCCAACTACCATGAAAACCTTCATGAAACAAACCTTACTTATAGGTAGCTGGTTACAGGCTTTCTTTGAGACCATTTGTCAGTGGGTTGCTTTTGGTCAGACCCAAATTAAACAAAATAGAGTTTAGGTTAATACATAAAAACGCATGATCTGGGTGAGTTGTCCTCTGTAATTCTTGAATCATCAGATGAATAGTAAACAGCTCAAACATCTTCTTATTACGCCTGTAAAATATTTTCCAAGAATGTTATGAGGTGACAAAACATCAAGTTTGATTACCTTAGAGAATTATAAAAATTCCAATTACATTCAAAATCCATAAATTCTGAAAAGTCTGTACAACTGTATGTGATAGAGTAAGTGCCATCTTAGTTGCTGTTAATTGTACTTGTTTGTATATTTTGTAGCTCTGGAAGACTGCTGCCCAGAAAGCTTTGGCTACAGGGTGCTACAGAAATGAACAATAAATGACTGAATGAATGAGAAAATAAAATTATAAAAGGAAGTTCCTATGTGCATTTTGGCCAGTGACAACCCATTTGCTGTGAAGTTATCTTACCAAACTGAGAGTGTCAGGAAAATTTTGCTGCAAATATTTGTGAATAACTCTCAGCAATGCAAATGCAGGGGGAGGAAACAAGCGAATTATTTAGGGAGCCATCTGAGATGATATCAACACCCAAAGGAGACACAGGTGTGGCTAGACCTGATGTGAACTTGAATTCACTTGGAAAATATTTAAAACATGTCATTTTAAGGAAACTGATAGAAAACAAATTGGCGTGTGTAGCAATAAAGAACCAATATCTGCTGAGAGGATGTCAGGCACTGCATCCTCTCCCACACGCAGGCCTTGGAATACAAGGTCACCAGGAGACATGTGAGCATCAGTGCTTTCTTTAGCCAGTATCCAAACACTGTTGTGCAAGAGAAGAAAGCAAGCCAATGTGGTACTGCCCCGCTGCCTATGGTTAGAGCAGGTTTCCTACCATAGGAGAGGAATTCTGGAGGAGGAATGTAAGACTGAAGGGAGCAGAGGGACTAAAAAGCCTTAGTTTGTGGATGGGGAACATGTGACCATGTCAATTGTTGGACCATATTTCCCTTGCACCTGAGCAACAGAGTCAGGGATGATGGACATTGCAATCCAGCAAAGCCATAAGCTCTCCATTCTTGCTTTAGTTGATTAATCTCCTAGCCCTTATGAAAGGAAGTGGTAGGAGGCAACAACCATTTGGCCTCCTTGTGTGTACCTCAACTGTCTGTGCTGCTTTAATTGCCTTTGCTTCTCTCTGCCCTTGATTGTTGATTAGTCCACTAATGTCTCCATGCCTCTTTCCTATTAGTTTTTCCCCAGTTCTCTTATGCTACCAACATCCTGACATGCTCACTGACAATGGGCTGGAAAAGACAGAGGATCAACATGGACAATGGGGTGGGGGGAGCAGAAAAATTTCTTCACAGCATAAAAGACTTACTTAATTTTTGAGAGTTTTTGCAGTAAAATGCTGAGTTTTTCCAGTATCTGAATTTCTAGTTTGGAGTTTCGAAGCAGCACTGAACAAGTACGGAAAAAGGCCTCACTACTGCAAGCTTCTAGGAACCGATGCAAAACCCCTGTGATCAATAAGAATAATTAACTTTTAAGCGAGTTAACAGAGCAACTTCCAATTTCGTGTTCAATGTTTTGTCAAGCTAAAACTCTACGTTCAGACTTTAGCATTCCATCAGCAGTGATGTGTGATCATCACCCGTAACACAAAATATAAAAATACAAGTTTCTTTGAAAGATGAGTTGATCCCCTGCTATCTCACCACAAATATAACATGGCAATAGTTGTCAGAAAGTATATTCTTGTTCCTCACCAATTTTATAAGGCTATTAAAGGTATACCTCTGACTGATTATTTACCTGATACAGTCAGGAAATAGCATGATCCCTATACAACTTTTCTTTCTAGTCCAGCAAGGGGTCATCTCTCCTTTGGAAGTGCATGAAATGGATAATGAATGATTTTGGCCAGTCTCCTGAATGTGCCAAGACAGATATTTTAGGAAAGATTACATCTTTGCGCACTTATTCTGCCCCGAACAGATTCTTTTCCTCCTGCAGAATGGGCAAACTAGACTTGACAGTTTATGGCAGAAACCCTATTTAGAGATCCTGGCAGAAACCAGGCAAGTAGCACTGGGTGAGCTGAGATGGGAGTGAAAAAGCTGCAATGGCAAGTACTGAGACAATGCAGGAAGATGAGGAAGTCTCTCATCTTTCTAAAGAAGAGGACTTGATACTGTACAAGCTATGGCCAAAGACATGGCTGCTTCATTGTGCGTAGTCTCGCCAGTTGTTAGCAGTTGCAGTGGCAGCTGGTTTGCTACTGTGTGTATGGAATGATGAACTAGATGGACCTTTGGTCTGATCCAGTAGGACTGTTCTTATGTTTTTATTTTCTGTCAGTCCACCATGTTCCCTAGTACTGTTGATTGTCCTTTCCTGAATTGGTCTTTTGTTTATTCATTGAATGTAGGCCCAGATACCGACACTTTATTGAAAGATAAAAGCTTAGTAAAGTTGCCAGTGGGATGAAAACCTCAGGTATGAGTATGAGTTCAGGCAGCTTAGACCAGCCTGGGGTTACACAGAACGACATTGAGCTCGTTGTATGCTGAGCTCTGCTTCTCCTTTTAATGCTTTAAAGCTAGAAGAGAAAGAGAATCTGACGTAATCATAAAGAAACTACAAAGACGAAGGGGTAAGAAAGGAGGGGCAGGAACAGTGTATCCTTTAGAGAGATATTTCACAGCTTATCCTACATAAGCTATAAATTATTTCTTCTGCTGTTAACTTCAAATGTCTCTCTTTGAGTTAACATCACACCTGTCCTTTCAAGAATAAAGGATGTGATGGATTAACTCATGCAGCATGGCCCTTACTGCTACTGCAAAATAATTCCTGTAGCGAAGTGGGTATGAGTAGAAAGCATGCCCTGAAACAGCTGGTGCCCTCTCCTCCAAACATGCTGGATTACACTCTCATCATTCCCAGCCTGGATAAACAAATGACCATGCTGGGTGAAGATGATGGAAGCTGCAGCCAAGTTGCAGGCTGGGAAAGGCTGTCCTAACCCTTTGCTAAGTCAAAATTCAAACCAAGCCTTTCAAATATCTCTGGCTAAGAACTTTCATCCTCCTTACACAGAACTGACAAAATGCTTTTAAAGGATAAATACCAGATACTCAGTACTCCAGAACAACTTCACAGTAGCAGGGAAATGATTTCTAGTCAGGTTTCTTACTTGATTTGTGCCCCACTTTTTTAAAAATCAAACTGGTAATCGAGGTGGCCATTATACCTCGACCATTACACAGATTAATTTCGATTTTTTTTTAAAGGCTGTGTCAAACCCACCCTAAAGCAAGCGAAAAGCACGTTAAAAGCCTGTGGAAGATGGTTGCCACTTAATTTCCTCCAAGAACCCCCCTTTCCCCAAATGTATAGTGAAAGGAAAATCACGGAGGGAGTAGATCTTAAAAGACAAAAACAGTAGCCTAGGTTTAGACAACACCATAACCCACGCTTAAGCACTAAGTATGGCTGACTGTGGGTTGTCACTGAATTATGGGTTCTTTTTAAACCATGGACTGTGCTGTCTTAAAATTGGGATGCACCAACAAGGTATAGCTTGTGACCCCTGAATAACAAATGAAGCGAACCCATGGTTTGTTGCTGGGTTGTGAACTCTAGGTTAGCACTGTGGTATGTTATCTTGCCTGGGTACAGACAATATGATTACCCACAATATGGTAACAACCTACTTTTTAATAAAAAACCACGTTCAACCCACACATGACCTTTGAGCTGGTCTTATTGTGTTGTCTGATCCCAGTTGGTATCTGTTGGTTTGAGTCACCTCAATAAAAGCACATGCCCTCTTGGAGAATTTGGAGCAAGAAAAATACAACATGTCTAAACCCACCCGATCAACTGGATGGGTGAAGTATGATGGTCACTTTTAGACGAGAGTTGCATTACTTTGGGGTGCTCTGTTTGGGGGCGGGGCACAAGTCAGCAGTGGCTGACTGAGTAGCACCTTAGGCTTACCTCCACCATGCCAAGACCAAACTTCCTTTCTTTGCCAGAGGCCCTCCCTGAGAACACTCTTCTAGTATCTTCAGTAGCTTGTGGGCCACCTGCATCACCAACATTAATCCTTCCTGCTTCTTCCAATTTTACCAATCTCCATCATACCATTTGCCACTTTCTCACTCAGATCAGGGACGTCCAACCTCCAGGATCTTCTGTTCTTTTGCATGTTTGAATTCAGGGTCATGGTGATTCCCCTGCATAGCATATCCTTGATATTCTATTACTATCTCCTTTCATCTTCACCTCTCACAATTCTTGCCCTGAAGGCCATGGTGGTGAAGTTAGCCTTATTGTGTCTCAAATCCTGTCAGTTTAATTCTGCACAGCCTACCCAGTTCAAGTGCTTCTCAACCTCTGAAGTTCATTTTCCTTTGCATCCCCATACTGTTTTCCAGCCATAGTAAACAGTAAAAGCAACACCCTTGGTTTTGCATATTCATGCTTGTCTTTCAGTACCAAATATAGGACTAACTGCATATATATTTCTAAAGGGTTCAGTGTATATGCAAGAGGTTTTTACATGGGCACCCAAACTTACAAAGTGCAGATGTTACAACCATATGTATGATGGGGGAACATTCACAGAGAGCAGAGAGGTGGTTGGCTTCAGCACATTCAGCAGTGAAACCAGGTAATGTGTGAAGCGGGAGGCTAGCAATGTCTGCTTACTTGGGAGACAGCTTTATTTATGAGCTGCATTTCACCAAACTAACTGCCATGTCTTCTGGACATTTTGTGCAACTGACATAAAAGGCAAGAGCTCTCAACAACATATAAAGCTCACCAAACAGTTATCCTGACATTAATGTTGAGGGCTAAAGATAAAAAGGAATAATACTTCCTGGTTAAGATGAAACAGCATAATCACCCTAGGCAGAAAGCATGGGATGTGTCTTCAGCAATGATTTATCTCAGTGGAAGATCAGGCGGGATAGTTTGCATAGGAATGCACAGAGTTAATGCTGAATGATTATTTTATTTGGCTGGAGGCATATCTGGAGTTCTTAGCAAGTTCTGCACAGGAGTGGAACCAGAAGTAACTTGGAGATAGCAATTAATTGCATTCTAATAGACAGGAGCCAAATGTTGCAGTAAGGCACTTCTTAGCTGAAGGATAATATGGCCCAGTCCTTCAGATAATAATGGACACATGGGAGACATACACAAAGCATTCCTGCAGAGAGACAGACACAAACTATTCTTCAACAGTAACAGTGCCATTTTACACACACCAACTGAGAAGTAATCCTTGCTGAGTTCAGTGGGACTTAGGACTGCAGCTCAAGAGGGCTTCACTGGTCATTCCTCCCACCCCAAGAACATCAGTCAGTGAAGTCCTGAGTGAATCTCACAGTTATTCATCTTGACTGTTTCCATAAACTCTATAAAGAGGTTTCCTGGGAAAGTGGAAGACACTGGCTTACCTTGCATGTGTCATGCTTAACAACCCAGCAAAAATCAGGTGTTGCACCCTAAAGATGAATATAGATTCCTCTTTCTTCAACACACTGTAATTTCTCTTTCAGTGTGAGAAATACAAGGCTAAAGAGCATTAAGATGTTTTAAATTAGTTTGCTATCTGAAATATTAATGAAGAATGTCTTTGTAAAGCTTCTTGGGCTGTGTGGAAGTAATACTTACTTGCAGTGAGTGACTAAGCAAGGAATGGATTCCAGGTCTATTTTTATAACTGTAAACCTGTAAGCTACCCAGGATGAGCAAACAATATTAAAACAAGCATACTTACTGGAATCCAATGTCATCTGGAGTAAACTGTCAATGGCAGTGGAAAGCAGCCTTTTACTTGATATTCTTATATGACCCAATATAATGGGCACAGCTTGGTAGTCCAAAAACAAAGTTCTCCCTTCCTCTGTCTTCAGATCAATGCAAAGTGAATCAAAAGCTTGAGCTAGGTAATCAGCTAGAAGAGGCATTGGAATTTAAATATTAAAATTATACATCGCTAGTTCTAGTCAATCAATCAACCAATCACATTACAGCGATCCTATATAACCATATATGATGGCTATAAAAGCAACAAGTTTAATAAATGTACTTATACAAGCAACAATATATTAGGTCTGCTGACTAAAAGTAACTCACAAAACAACTCACATTCTGTGTTATTTTAACAAATAAATTCAAAATAGTACAGGTTTTTACATTTATGGCACTCCCTTGTGCTCTTCAGCCTGTCCTTAAAGCTTTTAGGACTAGCTAATAGAGCTAATTCACAGTCTTGAAACATATGATCATGGCAGCCCATGTGCCTCTTGTCTACTTTCGATGAAACTCAGTGCATTACAAAAGCACAACCCACCTGTTAGTACTACACAGAAAAGTTCATTTTCGTATCATGAGAAAAAAATGACCTTTGTTTGTTTAGAAATGCTCACCATTCCTGATCTCAAAGTCAAGCACATGGCAAATAGACAAAAAGGATAAAAATAGGGGTAAAGAAGATCAGAAAAATGGGAACAACAGTGAATGATTCTCCCAATGATATATAGGATGACATCTCTGGGAAACAAAGGCTGGATAAGGCAGGCATCCTTGGTCCATTAGGCTGACACTAAACAGTATATGTGAATTATTGCATCACATGTGTAGTGCTTTACACAGAAGATTTATATTTCTCTTACTGTGCTTTATTTACACACACACACACACACACACACCCATGTACACTCCAGTCTATACAAATGTAATCATCTCAATATGCCTTAGGACTCTGTTGTTTTTAATTTGTCACTCTATAGGCTGATATGGCTACTTCTTTGGAATGGATACCAGTAAAGTCTGAAAGTGATCAATATATTAAGACATTTACAGCATTATTTCTGCAATCAATTGCCGAATTGCATTTGAAACACGTGATACATATTTAAAAGTACAGAACAGAGGCAGCCAATTTTTAAAAGCCTGTTCATAAGGCTGAAAAAGCCCATAAAGCCCAGACAGGGGCATCAAACCCTTTAGGGGAGTGGGAGGCAGTCAAATAGTCTCCAATCTTGTTTCAATCACACCATCTCCCCATTCTAAAGAGATCGCAGTATAGCACTGTTTCGTACTGGAAGACTTTAAAGATGCACTTATTAGTTAGTTGACTTTATCTATCCTATTCACAAGTCCTTGATAGGAATCAGTTACTGAGTTCAGAACAAGCTAATTCATAACTACTAAAAAATAACAGAACTGAGTTCATTGGTGCTTATTCCCTAATAAGTGTATTTAGCATGGCAAGCTAAAATAAATTTGTAATGTCTCTATTTACATTTAATTTCCCACTGATTTGTTTGAGAAAATGTTTCCTTCCTTATTTTTGTATAATGAAATTCTATCTTCTGACTATATGAGAGATTTGAGATAAAACAATAAACAGGTATCTTAACCCAAGCAATTTGGACTTTGGACATATTTAATCTGCTAGATAAAGTCATGCTGCTCTGTTACAGGATTATGATTCTTGCAAAACCTTTGTTAGGATGCCCCCTACTGCACTGTGACTTTAAAGCAAAACATTAGTTACAAATCCTCTTAACGTATGTTTCAACAAGAGATTGTGTTTTTATGGTGCATGCTCATTCGTTACATTATGTGCACTAAAACGATAATTCATGGGTTTGGCCTATTAAATACACCAGGCCTCAGTTAGAAATATTTTAGCACAAGCCTTTACTTTTCTAGAAAGACTTCAGACCCCCTCAGCTGTGGTCAACTGTTCTTGGGAAAAAATCTTTGTCATCCTTACTATCGTCAGGATGGCTACATGGAGCCTCCATGTTCAGAAGCAGTATACCTCCTGAGCAACTGCCTCCATGTTCAACTGCTGCGGGAAGCAGGAAGTTAGCCTGACTGGAGCTTTGGTCTCATCCCACAGAACTCTCCTTATATTTATAGTGGATAGTTCATTTTGTGGTCCTCTTGAACTGCCAGACATGAAAAATTAGAAAATTCTGCTCTGCAAATGGAGTTAGTCTTTGCTGGCCCTTAAATGTATACTGGAAAAGCACAGCCCTTTTCCTTACTTCGGCTACTGCCAGTTGAGATGAGGATGATATATTAGCTTAAAAACTTAATTGCATTTGTCAATACCAAACACAGCAGATTGCTCTCAAAAATATGAATGAAACATACCTTGTGTGACTGTTTTGATTATAATTAAAGTTGATATGACTCTTAAAGGTAAACGAGAGCTTTTAAAGAAAGATGCTGACTTTGGTTTAGAGTCAGATGCATGTTCTGAAGAAAGATACTGACTTCCCTTAGGTACAACACCTTTAAATAGGTCTTCACCCAGTCTTCTCATTGTTGATGTCATTGATCCATGCTGTTATACAAATGACAAAACAATATGAACAGGGTATTTATTTGCATTTCTATGTAGAATGTGCTTATTCTCAGTAATTATAAAGGCCATCTACTCTGCATAAAGACCACCATCATCAGTACATAATTTAAGCATATAATTTACAAACTATCTAGTTTAAGACTTATGATCCCAATAGATAAATGCTTAATAAAGTACAGAAATCATTAAACAAACACTATGTTATGAACTGGGAGTCTGAGCCTGGCCAGAAGATGTTATTTCAATGCAGGAAGCTGTTACAGCCAAGTTCCATTTTCCATCTAGTACATAATCATTCTGAATATTGGTTTGTATTTTCCAATGCATCAAAGCAGTAAAATAAAAGGTGAAATAGCTTAAATGATGATTTGTGACAAAATGCAGTATTACGCAAGTCATTCATACATTAAAATCAATGAACAGTCCTTCAAAACAATGTGTCTAGAGTTAAACATTCTAGCCTTCTTGATCCTGACTATTCAGAATCCTCGACCTTACAGAAAGTATTGTGAATGTAAGTGAATTTAGCATGTTATCCGATATGTAAAAGAAAATGAATAATACCTCTGAGGCATGTTTAAATCAAGCTTATACCATAACATCCAAAATCTCTCACAATGAAAGTTTTGTCTCTAAATGCAAATAAACAATTTTATTTGAATATTCCTCACCTGCATCCCTCCATCTAGCTGCCTTATGGTCCAGTAAATAAATTTAACCACATGCATGTGCAAATTAGGATTCACAAAGGGCATCCACTGAAGTTGTTCAGCAACAAGAGGCAACAACTGTAAAACACAAAAACATTGGAACCATTTTTTTCAAGATTTGGGTTCTATTAACAGATTCTGGATTAGGTTAATTGTTGTGGATGGCAACTACATTATAATTATACTCTCATGTGAACAGTAAACAGCAGAATAGTAATACCACTCCCAAACTGTAAATAATGCGTGGCCTAGAGTATTTGTATGAATTTAAATCCTACTAATAGCATATTAGTCTCCTAAGAATTCTGATGGATCAAGGCAAGAAGACATTTAGTTTAGCATTCTCTTTCTATCAGCAGCCAGTCAGATATCACCAGAACAGAGGTGTTGAATTTCTGAAAACTACGAAAGAGGGGTGTAGAAGAGAGAAAAAATCCCCACACAAGTTTGCGGGGGGGGGGGGGAATTGAAGTTTGTAGTACTTATTTCTGTGGCAAACCTGAACTGTACAATAGAAAACACAGAAAACCTAAGTGGGGCTGTGGAGCCATTCCGCATCCAAAGCTCTACTGGTAGATAGCCCCACTGGGGTGAAGAGAAATGGTCAATCTTTCTCCAAGCCCTCCTTTTTTCTCCATTTCCCACTTAAATCAGTTTCAGGCCCCTCACTGGTGGTAGTTTTATGCCCATCTTGGTTGGGCATAACTTGGTTAACAACTAAAGAGTGAAGTATACACAGAAAAATTAGTCATGTTGAAATAAGTTTTATTTGTTGAATGAATACTAATCTAGATGGAAAAGAAATTTCAAGCTGCTGTGGAAGGGTGAGATCCTATGTATGCTGGAACAGCAATGCTGGGAGCTGTAAAACCTTCTCTGTCTCACATGCACGAGGCTATATCCTAAGAGTACCTTGATATTTGCTGCTATTTCTACAGCAGAAGAACTATGGAACTTTGATGTGTCTCAAAACCCAAATAAAAGCACAAAAGCTAGTGTTTCTCTGAATGGCCCTCATGACCAGCTCTTACATATCATAAGAATAAACAACAACTGGGAGCAATTAAGTGATAATGTTATCTTAGGTGATGTCTCCAGCTGGAGAAGGAGAGGGACTGTCAGTCCCACAGAGTGGGTGCTGTTGATTCTAGGTGCTAAGGTGTGAATGAGGAATAACATGCTCAAAACAGCTGTTGCTGACATTTCTGCCAAGCTTACTTCTGTAGGCAGCTACCTGAAACAAGTCACAGTGAGTTCCCAAAGAACAAGACCAGACAGAATTCTGGGGGAACAAACTGCATTGTGGGTGCATGCATGCTAGTTCTGTCTAAGCACTATTTTGCCTTAAGTAGTGCTGTGTGCCTGAGTTGCTTACGGATGGCCCACAGAAGGGGTCCCTGCAATAGCAACACCAGCATGAGAATCATAGAATAGTAGAGTTGGACCTGACCAAGAGGGCATCAGGTCCAACTCCCAGCTCAATGAAGGATTCCAAGTTGAAGCCTCCTTAACAGATAGCTGTCCAGCTGCATCTTGAATGCCTCCAATGTGGAAGTGTCCACAACCTCCCTAGGCAATTGGTTCTATTGCTGAGTTGCTGTAAGAGTCTGGAAGTTTTTCCCCAAGTTCAGACAGAATCTGGCTTTCTGTAACCTGAGCCCATTATTCCATGCCCTGATCTCTGGTATGATGGAGAGGAGATCCTGGCTCTCCTCTCTGTGACAAGGTTTCAAGTACTTGAAGAGTATTATCCTATCTCCCCTCAGCCTCCTCTTCCCAAAGTTAATAGGTCCAATTCTTTCAGTCTTTCTTCATAAGGCATTAGTTCCAGTCCCCTTATCCTCTTTGTTGCTCTCCTCTGATCCTTTTCCAGTTTGCCTGCATCTTTCTTAAACTGAATGCACTCGTGATAAGGCCTAACTGGTGCTGAGCAGAAGGGAACTACGACTTCAAGTGATTTGTAAGTGATACTCCTATTAATGCAGCCATTTCAGAAGTAGGGATAAAATCTTGGGCAGGGAATCTCTTTCAGGCATTGCAAGTGCTGTGCCTGGAGTAAACTGCTGGGCCAGGATGTCCATGTTTATAATGGAAACTGTTTATAGCAGCAAAGACTAGTTAATGACATCTTTACTGCAGTAAGGGCTTTCCAGCTAAAATGGAAGGGTCATGCTAACATTTCATGTGCTAACCAACTCTTGACATGTATTCTTGGTATTGTACTGACTTTAATATGTTTTAGATATTTACTTTTTTATGTACAAGGACTTATATTAAATCAGGGACAGGAAATCTTTTGGCCTTAACAGTCGCACGTGTATGCTTACAACTCAAAGCACAGGAAGAGGAAGATTTAAACCTCTCTTCCCTGCCTTCTGAGATCAAGCGATGGGATCACGGGGAAGGTGGAGGAGTTGTAAGGAGGTGGTCCAAACTACTATTTCTTTACTACTATTAATAGCAGAGAAACCACAATCTGGTCCCTGCCTTAGCTGGGCAGTGGGCAAAAGTAGGTAGGTTACCATGGAGCCCATTAGGTGGACAAGGGCAAAATGTCACCCTTGGGTTGTCTGTATGTGTTTTAACAAAATATGTTTTGATTGACAGCAGATCTTGCACCACTCCTAGACTGCACACATAAATCAAGGGCACAAAAATACACCATTCTACAAATAGGGATACAGCTCACATGCATATCTGGATGTGTGCAGAATCACAGTGAAATTCTATTCATGTTTACTAAGAAGTAATTTCACTGTGTCCACTGGGGCTTACTCCCAGGTAAATGTATTCACAGTTGCAGCTTAGAGGCTTGAATTATGTAAGGCTTTTATCTTAAGTAACTATCACTCTCTAGTTTAAGATTATTCTTATGTTACCCAACTACATGAAGTAATTTCTCTGAAAGGCCTGGAACACACCCAAATCAGGATAAGCAAAGTTTGCATAAATGGGAATGCTAATTACGTATCATTAGTTTACTTGAGGTTATACCAGTGATTACTACCAGTGAACCTGGACAGTGTATGGGTAAGAGGTAGCCTAGGAATAATAAAATAACTAGGAGGTCTGGACCTAGAGCATCATATTGTTCAATTTACTCAATGGACTAGCTGGACACACAATGACCAAATAGATAATCCATGGTACAAACAAGTCTTATTCTAAAAAATGATTTAAAAGCCTTCTACCCTGATACACTTCTCTTGTGTGTAGTTTCTGTTGGAAGCATCTGTGCCTTGCTTGTGAATGGCTTCTCTCTCTTCCTCTAGTATCAATTTGCTCAGGTGCTGATCTGAGATCCAGTCCATTAGCAGTGTTAAAAGGTCATAGACGTGTGAATTAAGAGCTACCTGCAAACATAAAAGCAAATTTCTTAGGGTGTGTTGAAGAAATTGATTTTTTAATTTTTTTTTAATAAAACGATACCTAGAGCAATCCACACAGCAACACACATCTGGCTTGCATAAACTGCACAGGAGGCATATGGAAATCTGCCTGTCTGTGATGTTGCTATGCAGATTTGAAGGAGAAACATTTCTCCAACCTGACATGGACAGAGAAAATGCCCTGTGATATTACCACTGAAAATATAGTTCTTTCCTTCACTGAGGACATTCATCATTTTTATTTCTACTGCTCTTATTACAGATTCTCTCCACAGAATTCAATCTTGTTTTCTCTTACCTCCAGAAACAGTTTTGTGTGAACCAACAACCTGTTATTGGTTGCTTCCTTCAATGGGATGTCATGCTGTGTAATCCAGGACCAATTTCCCCGGGTGACCAATTCATGGGCAACAAGCCACACTTAGAACCACTGGGCTGCTGTAAGAATTGTTATATATATGATGGGTTGTTCCATGGTCTGAAATTGAGCCACTGACTGCATTGTGGTAGGAGGAATTGGCTATGGAACTACTTGGAAATAATACTTGCTGCTCTGGCCAAGTGGAAACTGCATTTTCACGATTTTGACAGCAACTGACTGCCTGTTCAAGACACCAAGGAGGGGTCAGAATCCTTTAAAAATGTGCAGAAACATGTTTTTATTTACTTAGGTGTTTGATGACTTGGCTGGGGCAATGCCCTTAGGACACTGCTACCAAAGGCAGATACTGCCCAGAAAAGAGAAATTGCCTCTTCCATTTTGGTTTCTCTTTTCAGCTATTGAGAAAAACCAAACATGGAAGGGAACTTTTCACAAAGAAAGGGGTATTCTGAGATTTCCCCTTTGTAGCAAAAACATTTTTCTAGCAGGATTATGTTTTATTTTGACTGGGGCATTTTTAGCCATATGCCCCAGTTGAAAAACCACCAACTGCCCTATCAAGCTCCTGTATTTGGGATGGGGGACACAACCTTTAGTGAGCCGATCATCTACTGGTTTATTGATTGGGTGGGTTACAGTGATGTGTGAATGTGCACAGTGCATCCCCTGGAGAAGTCCAAAGGTTTTAATTCCTAATCTCTCTAAGACTTGACATTTTCCTCCCTTTCCCTTAGCACGTATGGACTACAATGGTTATTATCATACGCTAAAGATATCACAGGTTTATTAAAATGGGGAAAATGTATTTGATAATAAAAGAATACAATGTATTATGTCTACATTTTATTGGGTGGTGCAGCAGCATGTACAATGCTCATCATTGAACATACTTCCCACCCAGATAAAAGGTTCTAACTCCAGATCACCTTCTCCTTGCGTATGCAAGCGCTCCACTGTTTACATGGGACTCCCGCATGTCCAAGGACACCATTTTCATTTAATATGAGTAGTTGGTTCTGCCACTGAATTGCCACAAGCACTACAAAAACCCTTAATGCCTGTTCAGTTCGAATTTGGGTCACAGTATTACAATTCCTAGGTCTTACCTTGTGAGTTTTTGATGATGCTATAACTTTTTCTGGTTTAACAATCTTATGTTCTTGGGCTATGTGGGGAATTTCTTTAGACTTCTGTATTGATAAAAATTCATGCTTTCGCTATAAAAGAAAGATTGACAAGAAACTATAGATGTTGTCTTGCAAAGATGAGAATTAATAAGATAGAAAAATAAACCTTTACCTGCAAATTCTCTAAACGAGCCTGTACCTTTCGAGACTGTACTTCCAACTTCTTGTTTTGCTCACTTACATCACTTAACTAAAAAGAAGCAAAAAACATGCTGAACTAACCCTTGTAAATGTTCCCATTTGTCAGGGGTGCAGAACCTCTGCCCCACTGGCCTGATCTGGCTCACTGGGGAACACAAATCAGGCCAACAGAACCTCTTGGGCCTCCTCCAGAAGGGTGGGGCTACAGCTCCAAGCCCTGCCTCCCTGGAGAACCCACCTGAAGGGCATCTCTCACCGCTGTCACTGATATAACAAGGAGGATTCCCCTGCTGGCAGGTGCCATAAACAGAATTCCTGGCTGTGCATGTAATCAACAAACATGTTGCTGCTATCATGTGCTGAGGGACAGCCACGTGTGGCCCTTGCCAGGAACAGTGGTTGCTATCCCCAGCATGGCTCCAGTAGCTTCATATGACCCGGCGTTCAGAGGGGCACTGGAAGCTGTGAAACCCAGAGATTCCTCTGGTGCGGTGCGGGGCGGGGCGGGGATGGGAGCAGCAGCTCCTGGAACAGCCTGAGCCCCTTTCTCCATGCCTCCTTTCTGCATGAAGAAAAAAGGTGGAGGTGGATTTCAAGGGCTGTGGCCAAACACCCTTGATGTCGTCTGACCTGCAGTGGACCCGGGGGAGGGGGGCAATTTGGCTTCCCACCCAAAAACACTTCTGTACCCTTGCAAGTCTATGCAACTTTATTCTGTGTGCATGCATGCATGTTTCTCTAACCCTAATATGGTATATAGAATCATCACGTCTCTCTGAATAAAGAAAGCTGAACAGGCTACCAAGAATTTATGGCTACAAATCAAGTGCAAATATGAAGTTTTATTAAAAAGGAAGGAAGATGTTTCCAAGTGTTTCTTTTTCTTTTAGCACTAAGTTGAAAGACAAACAGCCACTTCGCATTTTACAATGGCACAAGCTTGAAAGCATCTTGCTTTTCATTGTGGCTGATGGATACTTGTTTGCCTGAAAACATGCAATAAATGCTTTCAAGAGCCACAAATGGCTAGGGCTCCCCAAGAATGTCTTTAGACGCACCAGCCCTTTAGAACAGATGTGGCTAATTGGCAGAAAGCCTGTGATCATCCAAAAGAGTTTACAAACAGAAGTGCTTGGAATCAAAACCAAAACAACAGCAAAAGCCATTAAGCTACTCCAAAGTGATTTTTAAATGAATTCCAAGGCTTTTTGAAGAGGGCAACATTTTTAAAGGATGTTATCATGTCTTAGGGTAAATTAGTGTGAGTTAGCACTGAATGTATAACTTCTGGCAACTCTATTTCTTACCACATAAATTATGTTAATTGTTTAGCACTATAGAACCTTCTAAAACATTCTTTTCATAGCATTTATACTGTTTGATTCATGGTTTGTCAAAATCGTGCTTGCCTGTTTTTTCAAGGTGTCATTTAGTTCCTTTAATGTTTCAAATGATGTCTTAAGCCTTTTGTTTTCCTTTGTTTTTTCTTTCAAGGCCTCAGTCAACTGCTTAATTTCAACTTCATGTTGCTACCGTAAATAAACAAAAGAAGAATATTAAAAAAACAAAACTGACACATTCTTTTCAGGAAGCATGTTAAAGCCAGCCTCTGTGTCTACATGGCCATTAAGATGCATGAGGTGAAAAACAAACCAAAAATTCTAACGGATGTTAACACTGGAATTTCCAAGAGTATGTTCCTTTGTCAGATGAATACACTGCTTGGGCAGGTAGCTTCTTGTTACATGTGAATCCAGCAAGGGTGGCTTGTTGGAATGCCTGACATACCACCTGTAACCCTAAAACAGCCCATGGGTTCTCAGTGGCTTGTCAGCCACTCCAACATCTCGCGTTCATCAGGTTCTCATGAAATGAGAAGCTACATTGTGCCCTTGCCATTCCCTATATATTCAAAATGGTGACTCCTGCCACAACAAGACACCTCATTAATCTTCTGTGGCTTCTCATTACATGCAAACTGGGCTTCTGAGAATTTGGTCTTACTGCTGGGTTACACTTCTAGAATTGTACATATAGTTCTTTCTGCTTCAGTTGGCACCCTTTTAAGTCTGAGCCCATTCTGGTGGTCTGTACAAGCAAGCAGTGCATTCCCCTAATGGGAACGCACTCCTGGAAGTTCCAGTTGGTATGGCAACAAATCCCCAAATACATCATGCCCCAAATATACAAAATGGACACCGCAAAGAGAAGCCCGAAAGGGACATTCACCTCATTACTTGTGAACCAGGCTAAGGAATTATTGTGGCCACCTCCTGTACAATTATGTGCTTCATGTATTCACCACATAACCAGCATGCATCTGAGCTTCAGCCACCCAGTCCTTCATTGGCTGATGCAGCATTTGCCCCCCTTAAATCATGCTTCTTCTGTAACTCAATGTCCCTTGACCATCTGAAATCTCCCCTTTCCTTATGTCCTCTCATAACTAGAGCCAAAACAAGAGGGAGAGGCACATATATGAAAGAAGAACCAATGGGAGAGAGTAAAAATGGAGTCTCAGGTGCCCTGTGGAAAATCTTTTTTTGTTGCCCTGACTGAGATTCCATTTTATTCTCTCTTATTGGTTCTTCTCTCATAATTAGCATCACCTGTAAATGGCAAAGGAGCATGACTAAGCTTGGTCTTGGCAAGGCAGCAAGTGGAGAACTAATACATTATGGGAAGGACTGATCTTCAGGTCACGTTCTGTGCCCATCGACATACACAGTACACACATCAGGGCTTTTCGCCCTCAGAAGAAAAATCCCCACATGTAAGCAATTTAACAAGTAGGCAGGAACAACCACAATCATAGAGTTTGGTACCCCCCTTGGTTAACTGTGTTTTAGGTAAAGGAGACCCTGAAAAGTAACAATACCTCCTTCATAATTTCAAATTTTGTATGAATTTCCTCCTCAACATCCCTTATCCTGGTCAAAGCAGCTTCATGTCGACATAGCTGGGCTTCTCGCTCGTGTAAGAAGTGTTCTCGTTTTTCAAGTTTCAAAGCATATTCTTGCTGAGTAAGTTTTTCCTGCTGCCTCATAAAAGACAAGAAATGCAAAAATCACATTTGCCTATTTGAAAATAGCAGCAACTCTTTCAATAATTTGAATTATTGTTAATTTTTACCTGAAGCTTTTGATGTATGGAGGATAATTCATGATAAATTTGACTGAAGTGAGATGGTATCAGCGTTTCCCCATTTACCTCTTGGGTTTCAGAAATACTAACACTCTCTCTTACTGCTTCATCACCAGTACTATCATCACAACATATGCCAGCCCGCAAAGTGGATGGCAAAGTAATATCTAATAGGTGAAAACAAAAGCAGACATGCTCAACAAATTAGTCCTCAGTTTTCAAAAGGCCAATTACATGAAGAGGAGGTCTATACTGTCACAAAGATTATATGTTGCCAGAACCTTGCATCACTAGGTAACATAGCAATTGATTGATTGTTCATACATAGATTGATATCTTGCCAAACAGGCAAACATGAGGAGTATTATGTGATTTTATAGGCATGGAGGGAAGTCAGATCTCACAGAATGCTCAATTGAACTGTACCAGCAAGGTGTAATTTGAAAGTCTATCCCATGAATACATGTGAAACAGAAGATTGCTCATTTATTTATTCTATAGGTTTATGCTCTGCCCTCTAGCAAATACTCTCACCAGATGGCTTACATGGCTCTTAAAAGAGGCAAACAAAATCTGTACGCTTTTCTCTTTTTGAATTAATTATAAATTATGGAGGTTGTTTGGGCAGAGGGCAGCCAGCCTCTATTGCTCTTTCTAGCCTGAATCTGGTGAGAGGACTGAGGATCCTCTGCATCCTTGTGCAGAACCAAAGCTCAGAACTACAGCATGTGCCCTCCTCTTCCTCCATCTCCAGGCTGGGCTTTCTTTCATAACGCTCGCCAGAGGAAGAGGAAACGCTTGCTATGGCAAGCTGAATTGTGGAATAAAGTTCAGATGATCCATTAAACCACAGGCAGAAATCAGCCACAGGCTTGCATGCTTCTCCCTCACTCCATGCTCTTCACACACAGCATTCTCCTCTGTTTTTTAGTATTGTCCTAACCATGCATGCATATTTGTTTGTTTGTTTGTCTGCATGCTGTTCAATCTACATCAGTAAACTCTGGTTGCTGCTTGCTTCCCAAGCCAGAGTAAAAACCCTGCCAGGTTTTTTTCCATTTTGGAGGGCAGGTACTAATTCACATGTTCTGGCAAATTTTATCTAGTGTTAAACAGGAAATAACAGCAAGCTGCATATAAGGGAGAGAAATATCCATGTCTGTGGCTTGTTCATATTTTTCCCAAGCATATTTGGGGAGCAGTCTGATTTAAACCTATGTAGAAAAAATGGTCTTCAAGGTCACAGAAACATGCAAGTTGAGGCATGCTGGAATGGAAGATCTTTCAGGTACCAGGTCCTTAGCAGTGCAGGGCTTTAATGTAAGGACTAGCTCCTTGAACTATTACCAGAAAGTTTCCAGCCTGGAAGCCACTGCAACAAGTGCTATCAAGCAGTCCAAGCTAGCCTACTCTGAACTAACTGCAGTTTCCAAAGTGTTCAGAGGATCCTCTGTATGTAACACAAGACAGTAGTATTTTGAAGGTTATCAGCAAGGTGGGAAGTGGTCTTATATCAGGTTGACCTACTGCTCTACCTAAGCCAGTGTTCTTCACTCTGCCTGGCAGGGGTTCTTGGGCACAGGTCTTGCTAAATGATCCTTTAAACTGGAGATGCTGTGCAAGACATTGGTACCTTCTACATGCAAGGCAGTGTTCTTTTGTGTCTTCCTGAGCAGAGACAACAGTGTCCATGCTGCTCCTGTCCAGAACAGGCTGTAGGGAAAATGCTCAATGCCAAAGTGGTGCGTGGCACTCCAGAGAAAGAGCTGGGTGTGGGAATACCCACAAAGTTGTGAACTTGACCCTCTGAGCGGGTACAAAATCAACTAGAATAGGCTGGACAAAACCTCCTGCACAGACTAAGCACCCAACAGAACCTGTTTTCTCGTCTTCATTGAGATTCTACTTACAGGCCTTTATTCAAGACACTAATCCCAGACACAGATTAGCACATCCACTGCTTCACCTGAATTGCATGTAAAAGAGAGAACTGGAGGCCATTAAATATATTTAGGTTACCCCACTAGGAATCTTCAAATGATCTCTTAATGGTGCCATGGAGATGATGAAAGCACAGGGAGGTAAGATAGAAACCTGCAGGACCAAGCTTTACCCCCTTGGCAGAAAGACCTCCAATTACCCTTCCCAGATAAGGAAAGTGACCCACACTGCTTTCCAGCTAGGGCCAATGCCAACCTGTGCCAGTAAAAATAAGAGTAAAGAGAAAGGGCATAAGAAGATGCAAGTAAAGCTGAACTGGACAACTCTTGCATGGGATGTTAAATTGTCATTCTTGCTGTTAAACTGCCTGGGAAGATCAAGTGGCAGAGAAGCAGAACAGGTACAATTCTCATCAGTTTTAAGGTATACCTATACCTTAAAAAATAATACCTCATTCAAGCTGAGTTAGGAGTACAAACATTTGATTACCTATTTCTGAATATGTGCCTCCAATTTCAATTTCATCACTTCCAAGAGAATCTCCAGTAAACTCTGACCGTAGGTCAAGCTCCCTTGACACATACCGAGAATTCAATTCATCATCAGGCCTGACAAAACACAAAATAATTACATTCGGCCATACAGAGTGTAAAATGATGCTGGAATTTTCAGCATTTGTACCTTTACCTTCTTTATGACGAGGAGGACAAATCAGCTGAAACATAAACCAAGATGAAACAGAAATAATGTGAGCCAGGACACCAACTACTCTGGAGGGAGGTTTATAGCTTGTCTTAGATGGGGCTGCACTCCCCTTAAAGATGAAGTGCATGGACTGGGAATCCTCTTGGGCTCTCTGCTAACCAGGGAAGCCCAGGGGGCTGCGGTGTCCAAGAACTATGTTTTACTAGCAGCAGCCACCCTATCTGGGGAAGACCAAACTTGCCTCCATGATCCAAGCACCACTAAAATCCAGATCACACTAGTGCAACATGCTCTATGAGGAACTGGCTTTGAAGAAAGTCCAGGTACTTCGGATGATGCTGAATGCAATGGTCCAAGCACTGCTGGGTGTGAGGTGCTCCAATCGTATAACATCCTATGCTGCACCAGCTGTGTTTTTAAGGCAATCTGAAGTGCTGGTTTTGATCTTTAAGGCCTTAAATCATGTGGGATCATATTATCTGAAGAGCTGCCTTTGCCCATACGCGCTTGCCTGCTTGAAGAACAGCAGGGGAAGCCCTTCTAGCTTGCTCACTTTTGAAAACAGTTACGTGGGTGAATACAGGGAAGCAGGCCTTTTCTACAGCAGACCCTTACCTCTACTTAGCATCAGGGCTCCATGAGGCCCCATCACTGCAGGCTCTGAAATATACTACTTTCTCTTGATTAAATGTTATTGTAACTGCAGTTGTATGTGTAGGTTTGTTGTTTTTAGGATGCTTGCTGCTGTTGCTGTTTTTGATATTGCACCAGTTTTTTTAAATGTGAGTTTTGTGGTAGGGGCTGTTTTAAATCACTGCATTGGTTACTATTATGGGAGTATTACTGTCCTGCCCTGCACCAGCTGCACTGGTTACCAGTGTGATTTGGCCATCCTGAATGGTGGCCAAGGAATATTTTAAAGAAATAACATGAATAATGTTTACAGGGGGAAGTTACCATATCCTAATTTTATAATCCTAATTGTATTTTTTCTCTAATCCCAGAGCAAAAGGAGTAAATTTAGGTTTGTTGGTTTGTCTGTTGTTGCTTTTGATAGCATTTACATTAAGAAAGGAGAAGACTGGTTCAAAACATAAAGAGGTTTTCTTACCCATCCGAATTTTTAAAATTCTTTGGGGATGCAAAATAATGTCTTTTGTCATGCGTTCTTCCACAGTAGATAGTTTTCAACTGTGAGGAAGTTATAAGCAAAGAAGCTATCGTATCATCAAGTGAACTATCCATTTTATCTACAAGAAAACATATGTCATTGTGTTGGTTTAAAAAAACACAGTAATGATTGTCGTGTATGTAATGTGCATGAATCATTTGAATGAAAAAAATCAAGGCTTGTTACATGATGCTACAAATCCAAAAGTGAATCATTCTCCCTCCATTTAAGGGGACCTCTATTAACATCCATCTATAGAGGTTTTGAAATCAACAGTACATAGCTTAACAATAACTCAGGCATAAAAAGAGCACTTTCCATGCAGCCACACTCTGTTTAAATAGCTTTTAAAATTTAGTATTAAACACAAAAAGCTAATTCATGAGTCTGGAGGAGAGCTTCCTAAAAATAAATTCTGAAATACTTTCACAATAAGCAAGATGATGAGTACAATTTAATACATATCTGACTGAAATGTGTGTGAAATATACAAACAGAAAATCAAAGAGCAACATCTATTTTTCACCCCTTTCCTAAGAGACAAGTTATCTTCATTTCTTGATCTTCTGTTCTTCTGTAAAGGGCAAAGGATGAGATATGGCACTTATAAAAGGTAAAGAAAAACACCTATGATAAAAAGAGCAATGCTTGAAAAAGGGTTGGATATGTTTAACATATATCATTTTCATTGAATCTTTAAATGTTTTCCCCTATTTTATCCAATAAAATGATACAGGTCATAGTATAAAATAGTAAATACATTAGGACAGAAAACCAATATAGAAAATGAATTTAAAAAATTGCAAACTTTAAAAAGCACACAGAAAAAAGGGTTACATTTGATATCACACAAGCAAATCCCTTCTTTGGCACTTCCTCTTCCTGTTTCTCCCCCCCCCCCCCAGCCCCCACCTCCACTGTCATCTGCTCCAGAGGGTCCTCCAAGCCTCCATAGTAAATATGGGGGTATGCAGGGAGATGCAGTGGGGAGAGGGAATTCATCCCATTTACAGATGCTGTTTCATGAAACACCTGCCGGACATAATCAAAACAAAATAGACTTCCATATACCTGAAGCACCTGATCCTTCCTAAGCTAAGAAGAGTTGGGCCTGGTTGAAATCTGGATGGGTGACTAAAATATAGTGAACCGCCCAGACAGCTTTAGCTACAGGCAGCACAGAAATGCAATGTAATGATGATGATAATAATTCTTATCCCTTCTTTCTCCCTGTAGCCCCCTTTAAAAAGAATCTGTTTGGAGTCTCAGGAAGCCCTCATGAACAGTGTAAAATGGGGCAAAGTGAGGGAGGGGAGAACTGCCCCAAATTGGGCACCTTTTTGCCTCTCTCCTCCCTAGATTTCTGGGTGTGAAGTTGGAGAAAATAGCAGATCCAAGAGGCTGGAGATCCAAGGTAATGCTATGCTTCAGTGATTTTTTCCACCCACATGTGTCAAGGGGAAATTAATGACTGATCCCCACAAAGCACAGGATATGTGTGGGACAGCAGGATTGGATCTGGGAGTCTATTTGGAGGACTTGACTCTAGTCTGAACAGTAATACATACTGCCTTATGTAGGGCCAGGATGACCTAATCATGGCCAAAGCTCAGACCCTGAGACTTTTTGGTCCCATCTCTGAAACAGGACACAAGTAATCCATCCAAGAAGACTAACTGAAGACCTATCTGGACTCCTGAAGATGTACCCATGTTTTCTTCCTAATTACAAAGTTGGATGAGCCAATCTCCACAAATCTACACCATGGAAGTAGTAACCTCAGGTCAAGGGGTGAAGGCTCAAGCTCTGACCTCAGAAGTGTATACTTCTTATGTGGACTTAATAGCCATCATTTTAATCCCTGCCAACCTGTTGTCCCCTCTCCCTCACCCAGTCATCCCTGGAAAAAGTTTGGCAATAAAGGACAGAAACCACTCTTTCTCTATGAACTCTATGGCATTCAGAAATAAAGGGATGAGGTTTTGCCTTCCTGTTGAGATTTTGCAAATGCTACTTCATTGCCTCTGTAAAAATCCTGTGGGAAGGGAGAAATAGCACTACAACCTACTCAGAACTCTCTCTTCATAAAATATTGGGGGTGGGGGTTGATGGATGAGATCTAAGTGTACAACACAGAGAGATGTGGCAGGGTTTCTCAGGTGCAACAGAACAGTCACTCTCTGCCATAAAGGTTTAGAATGTCTACTTCAAAGGCTCTCTTAGGGTCTACTAAGAAACCAACATGGAAACTTATTAATTTTATAATGCATGGGAATGCTTAGGCTCTGTACAAAGGTTAAAAAAGTCATTCATAGTATGCCTGCAGCCTTGCAAGGTAATTAAAGACCAGACAAATTAGTGAGCAGGGACAGTTAGATATAAAGAAAAGGGAAAAAGTGAAATGAAATATCAAAGAGATGCATCCTAAAATATTCCATGATTGAAATCTAGTATACTCCTTTATTATTATTTCAACTCTTTCAAATTGAATTTCAAACTCTTTAAATACATTAGGGCCCAATGTTATGCAAAAAGTCCTTCTCTTCCTGACATTCCCTAAACGTGTACAGGATTTTAAACAACTTACCTGCAGATATTGAAGCCTTTCGACTTTTACTTTTGGCTTCTTCTATATCCAAAGAATAATCCTAAATGAAAAATGTTGCTCTGTAATTCTTCATGCCATATACCTAAATGGCTATTTATTGCGAACTCAGCTTGCATTTTTACTATTGTTTATAGTATAGCGGAAAAGTGCATTCCATTCAAATTCTTAAGAAGTATTCAAAGTAATTCCATTAAACTGGAGAATAAAAGGCATTAATAAAACCACTAAGGTTAGACTTAGAGGTGGAGGTCGAGAGATAAGGCGAAATAAGACATTTTGAGCTCAATACAGAGCAGATAGCCCTCCTATGTCTTCAGTGACGTGGATGGGGCAAATCCCTGGCACTCTTACTTACTTACTTATTTATTTTAATTTTTGCATGCCGTCCCATCGCATAGCCTCGGGATGGCTTACATAAAATAAACAAACATAATACAAATAGTACAAATAAAATCCAGATTCACCCTGGCTGCAAATTAAAACCTATAGATGATATTAAAAGTTGTTAAAATATTGTTGAAATAAAAAGGTCTTAGCCTGGCGCCAAAAAACAAATGACGGTGGCTCCAGGCAGACCTCTCTGGGGAGTGCATTCCATAGGTGGGGTGCCACCACAGAGAAAGCCCTCCTCCGGGAACTTTGCCTCCTAATGTCTTTCACGGAGGGTTCCCGGAGGAGGGCCTCTGCTGCCAATCTCGGGGAGGGAGGGCGAATACGGAAGAAGGCGTTCCTTTAGGTATATCCAGGTCCCAAGCCATTAAGGGCTTTATAGGTGATAACCAGCACCTTGAACTGAGCCCGGACTTCGATGGGGAGCCAGTGAAGCTGGTAGAGGACTGGGATTATGTGAGAATAACGCCCAGTCCCCGTCAGCAACCTGGCAGCTCTATTTTGCACCATCTGAAGTATCCGAACTGTCTTCAAGGGCAGCCCCACGTAGAGGACGTTACAGAAATCCAATCGGGAAGTAACCAATGCGTATGTCACTGTCGCTAGGATTAACCGAAGCTGAAGGAAAGCGGCTACTCTTGGAAGGCAGGCTACTGTAACTTGCCTGAAATTCAGCAGCCAGTGTTGTTCTTATTACTTATTAAAGGAGACTAACATCGGATCCCCCATCCCTTAGAAACAACCCCCAGGCTAAACTAAATAAACTGCACCACCCACTAAGAAGTAGTGGCTAAAAGAGCATCTTTTTTCGGTTATAAAGGCGAAACCCTGGACTGAAAGCAGAGGAGCTCACAGCATCCTTATTCAGGAAGAAACCGCCGAACTTACTTTGAGCCGAGCTTCGGCAGAGGGTCTGTACACAGAAAGCAATAACACAACAAGATGCCTCCGAGCATGTACAGCTTGCCGACCGCAATCTCATCTCATCGCCCACAGAGAAATGCGGGCAATGGGCGAGACAGCAAGGCTTAGAGCCGTCGCACAGAGCACCACCCGCCATTCAAACGCTGCAGCCGGGAGTTCCGACGATACGTGTGCCACCATCCCGCATTCTGTGAGAATGTGACAACACGCATCTACTCATTCCCTCCCTCACACCCCTCCCGCGCTCGGCCTCCACCTCTCCAGGCAGGTAGCGTCTCCTCCAGCGCTCGACCGAGCGACAACCTTCTCCTGAAGTCGCCATTCGCCCCGCTTCCCGCGGCCCGCTCCGCCATTCGCAACAGCCGCCCGAACGGCGAGGGGCGGGGAGAGCCGGGCAGGGAGGAAGGCGCCTGCGCGGGGAGGTCCTGCCTGGCGGCTGCGGGTTATTCGCGGCCCGAGCAAGGCGGCGGGCGCGCTCGTTGGCGGTTGTAGCGCCGGGCATGCCTTCTCTTCACGGGAGGGGGACGAGTCGGAGTCGGCAGCGCTGGTGGAAACGGTGGGAGCACCTTGATCCCAGCTGCCCTGTCCGATGTTGCAGTTTATGTATATTTTATTCTTACATTTATCTCTTTTTTACTCTTTTGCAAAGAACACAAGGCGGTTTATGCATTGCTCTTCTCCGTTTTATTTTCACGAAAAGGCTGTGAGGTAGATTAGGCTAAGACCCAGCGGCTGCCCAAGGTGACGCAGTCATGGTGAGTGGGGAGTACGACCTGGATATTCCAAGTACCAATCTAACACTCTAACCACTGGGCAACACGCTTTTTTTTCTTCTGGTACAAGCAAGTGGCAAAACTATCCCTCGATAGCATTTCAGAATGTATGGAGAAGAAACGAGAGAATGGTAAACTTTAGCAGAAGCCAGAGATCTATAGTGACCATCATCATAGTGGGGTGGAGAGAACGAGCATGCTCACTCCTCGTGCGCACAACCAAGGATACTTCCCGTCTAGCTTTAAGTGCTAGTCGTCGGACTATTGGTGTCTTGTTCTGTATACAAAAGGAAGGCCTTGCTGTAAATTTGTATTGCAGTTCCCCAGAATGAGACAGGTGCTGTTTGCATGTGAAGCAGAATGGGAAAAAGTTGTATAAATACACACCCTTTCACAAGCAATACGGATGTGAAGGAGGCATGGCTTGCTAGGGTCATGCACTGTATTGTGATGTGCCACGAAATCTGTTTTACTGTGCAGCTCAGGTTGGGAAAGTTTTACCAGTTGGTTCTGCTGCATATGCTGCCCTAGTTCACTACCTTCCTGTCCACAGAAAATGCCGTATTTGCAGTAAAAGCTATTCTCTTCCAGGCCTTGTAGAAAACAGACTATACTGAAGCTACGTCTGTGTGTTCATCTCTATCCAATTACTTTTGTTACAACAAAAGTTCAATTAAGGGCAAAAAACATTCCATGAAAAGAGGGTACCACTAGTGTTTATTACTTGTTAACACTAGGTTAACTACCCAAGTATTTGCAGTGTATACATTCATGCAAATCAACAGAAATATCCATACATAAATCATTCTCCAAATTGCAATATTAGCATTGTTATGCAGCCAGCAAGAAGAAACCAAACAGTCCAGTTGTATGATCACCATAGCTTAAGCAAACCATGGGTATCATTTACCTAAGTACCCACCTAGGCAATGCTTGTATCATTCCAACTTGGGCAAGCCAGGCTTGGTCAAAGGGGAACAAGCTTTATATAACCCTTCCACAGGCCACAGGTTACTTGAAGGTAATTTTCCCCTTAAGCCATGCTGCCTCATTTTGTAGGCCATGTAGGCATTTAGGCAAACTGCCTGGCACACACGGCAACTTAAAACATTGCAGCTTGTTTAATTTCTGTTTAAGGAACAGTGATCATGCAAAGTAGGTCAGTGATAGTTCAGATCAAGATTCTCTTATCTATGGTCATGCACTAATCATCTCCCATAGCCTGCCTGGATTGTATATAAAATCTACATTCATTGTGCTCATGGGAACAGCAGTCATAATAGTTGCCCTGAATTAGTTATTCTGCTGTAAGATTACTGCAGTAACAGTAACTTTCCCACAGCAGTATTGCAGTTAGATTTGTTTCTATGCCATATATAAAAGATTTGTTTCTATGCCTAAATCACATTTTATTCAGAATCATACAGTTCATTAATCATAGGGTATATTAAAATATTGGAAGTACCTTTGGAGCAATGTACCAGCTAGGCAGGTGATGCAAACCATAGAATAGTTTTATTAGGTGGATGAATGGGAAGAGTAAAACATGAAGAATAGTTTCTAACTTGCCCATGAATCAGCACAGTCAAGAGGAATAGAAGGAATAATTGCACACTAGTTCGACAGTTTATTTGAACTATTCAGGTAAAGTGGGAAACTTGCACAAACCAGAATGACAGAACTTCTGACTCCAGAGATTTCATTTTAAATTATTTAATACAAAAAATCAAGAGGAAACAAAAATACACCTGAAATTTACCAGTGTTGAACTTTTATTTCACAACATGCAAAATCAATTGAAACACATTAAAAAAGTACTCAGCTATAAGCTGTAACCTTACATTTATACATCAGAAATGTTCATTTAAAAAAACTGAACATAATTTTGTCTAGATCTGTTGGAACACTAATTATCTTAATCTGCATACATTTCAAAGCAAGGATTTTAGATTTGCCCACAGTCTGTAATCACAATTCTTTTTGACACTACTCCTTTGGGAGAGCCAAAAGGTTCTATTTTCTTCACAACATCCATACCATCCTTGACAAACCCAAAGACAACATGTTTAAAGTCCAAGTGTTCTGCTTTTTTGAGAGTTATAAAGAACTGAGAATTATTAGTGTCTCTTCCATGATTTGCCATTGACAGTAAGCCAGGACCTGTGTGTTTTATTTCAAAATTTTCATCTTCAAATGAATCTCCATAAATGGACTTTCCACCTGTGCCATCGTGTCTAGTGATGTCGCCTGCCTGGAATATAACACATTGAGAAAATTGAATGGAGTACAATATAAATTGAAACATCTCAAACATGCCCAGATGTGTTTTACTAACACAGTACTGCATCCCGTGTAAAATGCTCGCAAATTGCTAGTCAGACAATGGCAAATGGAAAACAGATATGGGATATGACTCCACAGTTGCTTTATATAGTGCCTTTCCTATGCTCCATGCAGATATAACAGGAAACTGTGATTTGCTATTACATGCACAAGCAGCAGGCTAGTGTGCTCACCCCCCTCAACTTAAAACATACTAATAGCAGACCATGGAGTATTATGTTGTCTCTGAATTACGCAGTTTATGTACAAGTTTGCCTTTTATTTTCACAGCTAGCTGGCCTTAAGTCCTATTTAGTCCAGAAGCTCATATTAGCATAGTTCCCCCTGTGGTATTTGTGAAGGTAACCAAAATAAGTTACCAGATGGGGTTGGATCCCAATTTAGGTGTGTGTAACTGAGCTGGTGAAAGTGGACTTTCTGCCTCTCTTCCCCATGATAACCCCTCCAGTCCCTTGAAAATGCTACACAGACGATTGGAGAACCTTGCAGGATGGGGTGAATTGTGGTGTGTGTGCACGCGCATGCGCGCGCAAAGAGAAATCCTTGGGAAAAAAAAAGGCAGAGGCAACCAGGAACCAACCCATGATCTGTTTAAGGATTGCATTTCTGTTGGTTTCATCTGTACTCCTGAATCACTGTGGATATACCTGAAGCTAATATGCTGTCCTTAATTCTCAGAAGTGCATGGAGAAAACTGAAATCATGACTTTTCAGTTTCCCTTACTTTCTTACTACTCTCTAAAAGAGCTACAAAAATAACTAATTATAAACCATTGTGAAGGAAAGCTCCCAGTTAACTTTAAAGGGTTATATGGCATCTTGGGGACATTTTGCATATATTCTGAACATTAATATTTTGACTTACTTGGCAGACAAAATCTGGAATTATTCTGTGAAATACACAGTTTCGGAATCCAAATCCTCTCTCTCCTGTGCATAATGCCCTGAAGTTCTCAGCAGTGCGAGGGACAATATTTGAAAACAATTCTATGGTTATATGCCCTAGAGGCTCATCATCAGCAGAAACTTCAAGATAAACCACAGGGTTTGTTTCCTTTGACAATTCTGCTGCCAGGGATACATGACCCTTCTGCAACTCTGACAAGCTTAGTCGACACTCTTCAAATCTCCTCTTGAAGGAATCGGCCAGTTCTTGGCTTTTAAACCTCACTGCAAGCTGTTCTATCTTAGCTTCTCCATCTGAAAGTAAGATTACAAATATTATTCATCAGTTGGGTTCACATGTAATGACAAACGACTCTGTGTGGTTTCCATGGTACATCATTTTTTGACAGATAATTTTGTTTTCTACACTAATGTGGTTTCCTTCCTCCTTGCTCAGTCCTCTCACTGTTGGCACAGATCCCACTGGCCAGCATGCCTGAAATTCAGTCCCAGCTGGATGGTTGTAGCAGCACTGGGGAAACCATGGTGCCAGGTTCAGATGATCAAGAAATCATGACAAAGCATGCAAACGGTAGTATGGATGGTTGCTTCTTAACTTTAAAAATCAAACATACCATACTGAAATAAGAAGACAGCACAACATGACAGACCATCCTGCACAAGAAACCATCATGGATTGCTGTATTGTATGAACCCTCTGAAAGTATAATCTAAGAAGGGGAGCAGGGAGGGGAACCAGCTATGGAATACCTTTTCAAAAACACTCACCAGCATAATCTGTTGCAGTCCAAACCATAGCATTGTTTGAGGTATTCAGGGGTTTTAAATCCATTGCTTTTGTGATTATATGGTTTGCACAGACTTTGAGAACTTGGTCCCTCCTCATTAGAATTCTATAGCATTTCTTCTGTGTATGGAAGAGGATCTTTATTTCTCCAACACCACGTTCTTTCCACTGACTGACTTCTCTATCCCATCTATAGAGTTTTGCCCTTTCCTTGAAGATAATTTCTTCATCTTCTTCTCCTGATTTTACCTCAACCTAAAACAAGGATAAATAGATATGTTGCACAGACCACTACTACTGTAACTGGTTTACAGACACGCAGGACTGTGAAATCCTACAGTAGTAATCACAGCTCTGTTCAGTGAAACATATGCTCAGGCACATGAGCTGAGGATTGCAGTGCAAAATCATGTGGATAAATGAATCACAGGCCCTTGTCAGAAGACATCATCTTTTTTCCTGTTTTAGAGTAAATGTGCACAGAGCAGAAATTGTGTAGTCATAGTCACATATATGCTGTTGGAAAC